CGATTTCGAACGGGGTGAGCTTAGTAGACGCGATCACCGACGTAGCGTGCGCGTACCCTACCTTACCAAGTAGCTTTGCCCAATTTTCGCCACTCTACGATACTAGGTGGCGTAAAGCGTCTTCCAATACCAAGTTCTGGCGCTCTGTTTGCCCATCTGATTGTGCTCTATGAGCGGTCGTCATGCTTAACTTGACACCCATTATATTCATCAGCGATTTTTCAGAATTTCGCCGTAAACTTAGGATCCTGATCGATGATAATAACCTTCGGCAACCCATGATGTCGGACTACAGCGTCGAAAAATAGGTCTGCGGTGTCTTTCGAATCGGCAGTCGTATATGTCGGTGCATAAATCGGCCTCTTTGAGAACTTGTCTACGACGACGCAAATAGCATCATAACCTTCCGACACGGATAGCCCAGTAATGAAGTCCATGGACACTACTTCCCAGTATTCCTCCTGAATGGGAAAAGGAATCATTAAACCGTTCTTCCGCTGGCTCTAAGACTTCCATCAAGCGCATGTTTCACATGTCTCCACGTACTTCTGCAAGATTCCCAGTATCTTCGGCCAGTAGTACTGTGGTAAAGTCACTAATTAAATTTTGGGACGTGGATCGGTGATCTGGTCCAACTGTTACCAGACTGATGGAAATGGATCGAGCTGAGACGGAGCGATCTGGGACGAGACGACAACTAGAACGATTTCCATAGAGCGATCTGGGACGAGACGACAACTAGAACGATTTCCATAGAGCGATCTGGGTCAAATATCTGGGACCAGGTGGTGTGATATGACTCTGTGACGAAGGTGTAACATCCTGCAGATCGTTGACACTCTTTACCGGTCTCCCAGAGGGAGTACTTCTTTAGGTTAATTATGGCCCGATCTGCAATTGTGGATGTTTGTGGGAGTCCGTGGGACCGTTGTGAGAACGATGGACGGTCCTATTGAGCAGATAAACCCTTGAAGATGGTATCGGAGTACGCTCGATGGAAGGAAGAACACATATGACCGGATTGCACGGTGTCGATCCTCAACGATCTCGAATTGGGCATCAGATCGGCCATGTTCCCTGCTTATTATGGATATATCGATGATGAAGCAATTGTATTGTGACATAAATGCTTGTGCAAGGTCCATGAGTGATGTCCCGAAAGTTCAGACCGAAAGAGCCAGTGGAAGCCGGTCGAATTGACGTCGCAAAATGCATTTCGACACTTTCTACATTTTGGACTATTTTGGACTTTTCGGTACCAAAATTGGGTATTTGGTACCGTATTTGGAGTTTGGTCTTATTTGGTGTCTAGGTACGATATCGGGAGTATTGGCGCTATCTTTGGGGTACAGACCACGAAATTTCGACACGTGTTCAAGGGAGCCGTCAAGCTTAAAGGTTATATCAGTTTGGTGAGTGACCTACAGTTTGGAATAGGCTTAAGGATAGGTTGGCTATTAATTTGGTTGGTTAATAAACAGACTTGAACTCTACTTCGTCCGCGCACGACGCGCGTTCCTCCCCTCTTCTCCGGGTAAGATTGATTTGGCTTCTCCGGCGGGTCAAGGCACGCGTGTTACAGGGACACAGAAGACCTATCTTGGATTGTTGGCCAAGATCGGGAAGAGAGATCTCGGGATATCTGGCCCGGATCGATCAAGTACTCACACTCAACTCAACTGCTAGGGTAGCAGCAAACAACAACAAAGTAAAAGGATCTTAATTACAATATTGCAAGGCGGCTCAAGTGGTCAGAAGATCTGGACAAGGAGCCCAAGACAAGACCGAGCAAAACCGAGACGATCTACCGGACAGATCGGCGTGTTTCATTTTGGCGAAACAAGACACCGATCCGCCCAAATTGCGCACTTCCGGCAAGATCGGCCGATCCCGAGACCAAATCGGACCGATACCAAGGCAAGATCGACGCAAGACTATCATTTGCTGAGTGAAGATTTCCGCACAGCGAAGACCCCGATCCCGAAGACGAATCGAGATCGGTGTGATTCAAGATCGAGATCGCGACATCTCCATATAGAGATCGCCGCGACTCAAGATCAAGATCGCAGAACCCCCGTTCGTGGTGTGAAGATTTCCGCACCGGAAGCGAACTTTCAACCCGACCTCTCAGCGAGATCGACATCTCCCAAGGCCGTTACGAAGAGCTCATACCAGCCCAACCGACGGGTACACAAGGTGAGCACAAGGTTATACAGAAAGCCACGGATCGGAGTACCCCCTGCGTGACTCGGCAAGTCTGGACAAGTGGAAGATCGACACTCAAACAAGAGATTTTTCGAGATCGACTTCACCACATCGTCTAGATCGACAGATCTCGGGAGGTATATTCCAATAGTACCAGATCAACCTGGGTCTCCAAGCGATCTTGGTCCGGCCGAATCGACACCTTTCTCCAGGGGATCATTAGATGGACTAACCACCGGGATTCGTCTCTTGCCCACGATCTGTCGTCCAGAGCGCCAGATCACGGGAGGCATAATCAAATAGTCCCAGATCGACCCATATCTCCACTGGTCCATACAGACGACCGGATCGACAGCCTGAGTTGAGCCCATCCCATTCTTCACCAGATCGATAGTTACTTGGGCTCCACTAATATCTCCATTCAATCGACATGGATCGCCAGATCATCAGTCTCGGCTTAGATCGCTATTTGTTTGAACAAGATCGTTAGATCATTCTGCTTTACCTGGATCGCCGGTCTTAGTAGAATTCGAAAATGATAATACATCAGATTTCATTATCATCGTTTGTCACATCTTTTAATGGTGTATCACCATGCCAAATTGATCTCGATCTCCATCAACTATTTGGTAATTCAGTTCCATACTCATGTACGAACAGCCCATTCCTTTGGCATGTACTACCTCCAAGTACACCCTTCAAACCCATTCCACCAGCATATGATATCTCCTAGCACACCCGTCAACCGATATCCTCCGCCACATACAGCCTCCCGGCATGTGCTTTCACCACCTTACAGACATATGCAACCTCCTTGCATACTTCAAACAAACCTAACCTCCAGATCGGTGTTCGACCCTTGAAGCAGCTTCTTCTAATTGCCTCACCTTGAATCAATTCCAGCTTGCTCGACCACGGTCATATCCTTGCGACATATCCACGCAAATTACACCTGCCTCGTCTATCCATGTCGGATCGCTGGAGCCTTTCCAACACTTCCCGACCGGACAGTGTACTCGTCCAACCCGTGGTTATCGGTCAGATCGCACGTCTTTTGTTCTTTTCACTTCTAGCTTATCATCCTCTCGACCTACTTCCCAGCTATGGTCCGGCCACAATACTTCATCAAAGTCCACTCTATCAATCTCGTATACCATCCAACGGATTATTGGTCGATCCTGAAACATCTTGACCTGCTTCAAGTTCGAGACATGAACCATCGAGAACAACTTGTATGGTTTACCATCAATATCCAGTCGTACGATACATCCTCCACATTTGACGGCCTCACGAAACGGTCCGTGCCACATTTGGGCTAAACTTGGTCCATATTCCTCGTTGAACCGATAGAGATAAAGCCGCAACTCCTCTTCACGACTTATCTGCAGTGGATTACAATACGCATTATAGCGGTCGATCCCCACCGTATCAGTCTCTGGGGTCATCACGGTGGACTGTCCATGCTCTTCACTGTATCCCATTTCGGTCTCGTTTTTATGATTGTGACTGATTTGTTTTCTGTCAGGATCATCATCACTAGAAATTCCCCATTCGATCATCTTTCCCCCTCCTCATTGTTCAAGTTAGCAAATCGACATATTCCCACGGCTTCACAGCTCATAGCCTTGGTGGCATTTATCAAAGCAGGAGACAGCATGTCACCAATCACTCCAGCTAAGTCATGTAAGTCCCTGTTATAGCTGCGTCTCCAAGCTGTCGATTGTCTCGTCCTTTTAACACACCATCTTGAGTCGACATCCCGCCTGACTGACGTCTGAACTCTCCATGCACCGTATCAATATCGTCAGGGTCTCCGCCTTTGGTCTTGCTATCTTCACATACCGTTCGTTTCCATCCAATCGACGCTTGATCGATCTCCACCTTACCCTTCGCCGGCGGTCTCGCACCCTCGTTTCCCTTCGATAATCTCAATTTCGCAATCATTTCGAGTCCTTTAACCAGTCGAGTGTGCTCTTTTTGCGACTCATCATCCTTGAACCCGATCCCATCTGCCTGACAGCTGGACCGTTCTTGTGACAGATCAGCTACCTCAGCCTTAGTGGCTTTGTTCGTAATTTCCCTTGTGGCGTCAATCCCTTGCTTCGGTCGGTCTTGTATCCACTCGACTCTTTCATCGTCACATACCGATCGTTTCCATCCAATCGACGCTTGATCCATCTCCACCTTTCCCTGCGCCGGCGATCTCGCACCCTCGTTTCCCTTCGACAATCTCACGGTCACAATCATTTCGAGTCCTTTAGCCAGTCACGTGTGCTCTTATTGCGACTCACCATTCTTGAACCCGATCCCGTCTGCCTGACATCTGGACCGTTCTTGTGACAGATCAGCTACCTCAGACTCAGTGGCTTTGTTCGTAATCTCCCTTGTGGCGTCAATCCCTTGCTTCGGTCGGTCTTGTATCCACTCGACTCTTTCATCGTCACATACCGATCGTTTCCATCCAATCGACGCTTGATCCATCTCCACCTTTCCCTGCTCCGGCGATCTCGCACCCTCGTTTCCCTTCGATAATCTCACATACGCAATCATTTCGAGTCCTTTAACCAGTCGAGTGTGCTCTTCTTGCGACTCACCATCCTTGAATCCGATCCCGTCTGCCTGACATCTGGACCGTTCTTGTGACAGATCAGCTCCCTCAGACTCAGTGGCTTTGTTCGTGATCTCCCTTTTCACTCTCCAATCTGCGCTGCAGAAGGCACCCGCCTGCGGTGAGTATAAACGAGACATTAAGCCAAACCAGGCTTTCTTCGGCAACTGCCCGTGCGTATCTTCCCATGACCAACCCTCCTCCTGACAAAGGAAGGGAAGAGTCTGGCGACGATCCAGGACAACCTGCGCTCCCACTAGCGTCACTGACAACTCAAGTACCTCCTGGGTCTCCGCAGCCGGACAGGGAGCGTAAGGTGGCTGCGCCGGACACGCACCACGATGATGCGACATTGGACATGGACGGGGATCGGACTCTTCCCAGCCACCCGTCTGATGTTTTGTCGGCCGGACCTGGCTTGACGCCCTGCGCATCCCGGAAGGGTGCCACCGCAGTTACCCCATCGGGCGCGGAAGGTGCCTCACGAGCTGATCGATTGGATCCGGGGGAGCACTCTTCCTCGGAGAACGTAGGGGTCACTTCGGACCGGTCCGGGGCCCCTCTTGTGGATGATGAAAGCGATCTTCATGCCGCCTTAGTGGATGAGATGAAGGCCCACCCCGGCGAGGGTACGCTCGATTCATGGCTTCACTCTATTTAAGTGCTGTACACAACGGCATCGGAGCAATTTGCGGTCAATAAGGCCAAGTTACCCATCGAGCGGCAACGTTACCCCCGCTTGACCAGGGCAGAGCGCGTAGGATTACTTACTCTATTTGAACTCGCCTGCATCCGTGGAAACCAAGATGGGGAGGCGTGGAATCGAACGCTCCAACCTGTGATCAGGGATCTGTATTCAACGAAATGGGCGTTTCTCGAGATCGTTCGCAAGCACGTTAGCCGGCTTAGATGGAAGCAAGCTCCTGTTTTGGATCAGTGGTCGGCTACGGTGAAACAGGGCACTCCGGCAGCTACCGAAAGCTCTCCTACTCTTTCGCGACACCCGTACACGCGATTTATGTTACATCCGGCTAAAAACCAGCGGGCAGAGGTCGCGAAGCTGACGCAAGTGTGCAAAGCTTCTTACGAAGGGGCGTATGGCCTTGAGTACCGGGATGGAACCGCAGAGGAATGGAAAATTATTGAGGGCCTGGCGGAAGGGTCTATAGCGTGTCGCAAACCTGTCGTTCGTGCAGAGTATCATGGACAGTTCCGAACGCATTCGGCTGTTCAATACGATCCAAGCACAGGTGGAGGGAGAGCTGGTGATGACGTTACAACGTCATCATTATATCCGGGTATGTCAGCATAGCACTAACGGCATCATCGCGGCGATACTTGAATCGGCGGAATTAGTTCGGGTCAACTTGCCAGCGCTTCATGCGCTGATAATCCAGACTAAACAGATTGTTTACGACAGAATGACAAAGTCCATCCATTTCTTTTTCTTCACTAGAGAAACGGCGGTTAAACATCAACGTGTGGCTATCCCGTTTCGGGGCGGAAGCTATTCGCTAACTAATCCGCATCGGCCACACCACGGAATTGTTTGGGATCGACAGCGCAGTTCGGATGGGCATCAAATACGGCGGCAGGCGGAGTATACGGTATACATCCGCAATTTGACTCGGTTTCCCGACATTGGTAAGCTTATGGCGTTTCTTCGCACTAACATCCAAACCCCATTTGAAGTGGAAGATATGGATACGTGCACGCCGACGTCAAGAACGTCGGCGGTGTGGAAACTTACTTTCCAGTTGGCGGGTTGCCCGAATTTTCTACAGGGAGTGAACCGAATCATGTGGTTCGGCGCCATTTTAATCGTATCTCACCCCAACGTTGGGCGCCGATTTCAATGTCTACAGTGCGGTAACATTGGGCACCCAATTGCGCGTTGCAGTTTCTCTGACGCACAACTTCGGGGGCCAGGAGCCATTGTCGTTGCGGAACAGGACATAGCCGGTCTGGGCGATACCGCACGTCCTTTCGCGAGTCTTAAAGAACTTCGAGATACTGTGCGCGCCCGTATTGCCGGCCACCGCCTGGCCCAGGCGTCGCTAAGCACACCGGATAATATGGCGCCTGTTACTCCTACATCTTCCAGGCTACAGGGATCCGATAGAGAGTCGCAGCGACTACCAAAACCGGTGGATCGGGAGGAAGGCATCTTACCTCCTGGAGTCGAGCTTCAACCAGAACCCAGGGAACCACAGCCGTGGATTACCCACAGAGCTCAGAAGGGACGGTCTCTCCAGAGACGCGCCAACAAAACCTTGACAAGCATTGGAAAAGACACTCCACGAGCGCTCGTCAGCGAGGCATCCGGCAAGCACCCAACACCGACACCCCGAACGGCCCCATTACCCGCCGAGTTGAGCAGTGAGGGCTTCCCTAGCGTCGTAACCGGGGACACGGTCTCTCCGGCGCAGCCGCTTCTCTTACCAGCTGAGGAACAAATTCGTGTGGCAGAGCTGGCGCGGGGTCAGCCTCCACAAGTCCAAGGGCATCTCCTGCTTAGTCGTCAGGCGAAATCTAGGGCTACGCTTTCGAAATTAATGCAGGCCAGCTACGCCGGTCCCTCGGAGGTGGCTCCCCCTGGTCCAATGCTTACGCAAGTGCCGCAGACTTTCGAAGAGGCGTTAAACAGCTTAGGGACGCGGGAGGTAGTAACGCCGGCGTCCGGCAATTGCCTTGCCATGGCAATCGTGCAAGGAGCAACTGGGCAAGATCTCGCAGAGCCGACGTCAAAGCGTGGACAGCTAACGGCAACCCTCAAAACCGGTATCAAGGAGGTTGGACTTTTAAACATAGAGGACCGCATACCGCATGATATCCGGGTGACGATACTTCAACACGTTAACCGTGCTTGGACAAGCATGACGCGGCGGGAATCCCTTAACCAACTCAAATGGTTTTTAGAGGACTACGCATCCAGTCCTTCCGACCGAGCAGCGGTCGTCGCGGACAATACATGGGGAGGTAATGACATCATCGGACTAGCGGCAATGTTCCTCCGTCGGAACATTTACGTGCTCGAATTAGAAGGTACGCGCGCCAAACCCTGGATCTGCCGGCAGTTTGGGCCAGAAGTGCTATCCATCAAAGCGAAAAGTATCGCTTCGTTTACGGAGCGGCCCATGGACATTTTACAGTGCCTTGATGCCATCAGGGCGGACATCATCGACTCAGCAGCAACTCCTATTGTCCTCCGCTTTTGGGGTCGGCATTACTCGGCTGCCGTTCCTAGCCCGGCAACGAGGGAAGAGTTCGCAACCCATCACGATGCCCTCATGGTGGCCCAACAGTCTCGGCATGATGCAGATAAACCAATGTATTCCACTTCCCAGACTGAGGACCTCGCCCCTGTATGTGGTGGACCACAACAGCTAGCGCTGGTAAAGGTTGATGCGGCCAACGCATTGGGTACCACTGATAGGAACTATGTCGATACCTCTCTCGCGCCGACTGACGTCGTGACGCAGCCTCCCAGAATTTGCGACCAGGCGAGGCACTTGCGTAAGCGTACACATGTACCCGCTCCGGACGACCGCATTCAGGACGGTGTGGCCTTGAAAAACATCCATACCGGGGTTCTGCTGAAGAAAGGAAAACCGGAGGAGTACGCTCTGGTTCAATATCTGGCAGTGCCGAACGACCCTATGGGCGGCCCCAATCAGCATTGGCACGTTGAATGGAATCGTGGAAGCGTCCGCTGGCCGACGACGGCTAGCGTCCAGTGTCCATTGGTAGAGAGCGGAACTGCTCTATGGGCAGCGGTGGCCGCGGTGGAACCGCTTGTTTTACTCAATCAAGTCCAATCATTTCGGTTCCCCGGTGAGCTTATCGACTCTCTCGCAGATTCAGTCATCGCTCAGTGGACAGAGGAATGGCGAAGGGATTGTTTGCAGGACTGCCTAGCCCGTTACCGGACAAATTGTACGGTAAAAGCGACGCGGGCTTGGCTAGATCAGTGGAAGCAACAGATCATATTTCTGAAAGGGCGGAAGGTCGCCGGAAATATCGGAGATAACACCGACTATTGGAAACGCATCCGGGTCGAGAAATATGGGAATGACGATCTTTTTCGGCTATGCGATCCAATTCGGCGGGTCATATTCAGTCATCACATTTTGTGCGCTCATCTGTATCATGTCGAAATTGGAGAGCTTTTATCGATGGTGGATACGGAAGCTGGCTCCCGATCAGTTATGGAGGCCCATGTCCAGCTCCTGAAACGGGATGCGCAATATAAATCGTGTTACAAGGGGGGCGGGACAACGGCTGATTGGGCCAGTATTGCGCGCTTTTTTGAATCCGCCTTCGAGAAGCCAATGGTGATCGAAGGCATTGACTACTAAGGGCAGCTCACAGATCACGGCTCAGTCATCGCTTCCAACTTTGGGCGGGGACAGAGCTGATGCGTATGGTCTCTACATGCACGATAGATTGAAGTTCCACCGACCTCTGTCGCGTTCTCGGCGGGATTTCTCAGCAGCTACGACTCAACGGATACTAACGCAGAATGTCCGCGGCTTTTCTGGTCAATCTCGTCCTATATGGATGGCAGCATGGCGGAATGCGCCACGGAAAACACGACCGCATATTTGGTGTCTCCAAGAAACTTACGTCGCTTCTCAGGATGAAGCGGATGCATTAGATCGGGAATAGAGACGGCTTTGAGGCCTATCCGCGGTTGATCCAGCATTTCCTCTTTCTTACTGGAGTCTGGGGACGCGCCAAGCCGTCAGGGTGGCTTTTCTTCTGACACCGGACATGGCCCAGTCGGCACAACCATGGCGTGGCCTCCTGACCACGCCGAGACAAATTGCGTTATCTATCCAGGACTACTTCGTGTTCGTTAACGTTTATGCACCAAACGAACGGGCGGAAAGAGAATTGTTTTTCGAGGGTCTGAAAGCGGTGCAGCGGTCCGTCGCCCCAGTCACTCTAACCGGGAATTTTAATTGCGTCCAACATCCCTCGCTCGACCGGCTGGGGTTACGTTCGGCTAGTCGCACTGAAAGCCCAGCTTTGGATTCGCTCGCTGACATGTGTCAGCTATTCGATGCGCTGTATTTGTTCCTCACCCAGACGACGACCTGGAGTGGGAGCCGTCTACCCACTTCACGTATTGGGCGGGGTCAGCAGCCAGCAGACTTGATCGTTTTTACGTACCCCACACATGGGGGGACCGAGTGCAATGGTTAGAAACAATTCTTCCACCATTGGCTTCTGATCACCAGCAAGTCACCTTGCATATCTCTGCTGGGCAACGGAACAGGCATCGCCATCCCGGTAAAGTTGCGTACCCCATACGTTGTGCAAACCCGGCCGGCGCCGTCGCTGAACTCATCGATTGCCTCACAAACGGCGGCATTACTGAGTTATCCACGGTCTTGACCTGGGATCACGGCGTTCGCCGCGTTCGACGGGGGATCGCAACCACCGCCCGCAGGCAAAGGCAACGGCGGACACGGTACATCGACAGGCTGCGACGGCGATCACGACGGCCACTGCTTACCCGACAGGCCTGGCACCAAGCCCAAACCGAGGATCAACAGGAGGCTCACATCTGTCGGGTTGGCTTGGCTCTCCAACGTACAACGGAGAAACTTCGCGCGAAGTTTAAACGTATGTCGGACTGGGAGCGTTACCAACGTGTTACAGCCATCAGGAGACTCCACGGTGACCCGTTCCTAGTCGGCTGTAGCGTCGTCGACAAGTTTAGTTCTGAATGGGATCATGTGCTGGGGAAGAGCCACCGTATAGTCCCAGTCGCAGAACTGCGTACGGCTCTGAGGCATTTCGTCGCTCTCCCCTCTGACCGCATAGTCACCACCGCCGAAAACCGTGCCCTGACGGCAGCTATAACGGAGGCAGAGGTGGTACTCGCAATCAGAGCTCTCAGTAGGCATAAAGCCCCCGGCACCGACGGCTTAGGGAACGATTTTTACAAGGATCTTCAGTCGCTGTTGGTACCGCCGTTAGTGGAGATAGCTAACGAGATCATCCAAGGTGCGCAACCACCCAAGTCGTTTATGGAGGCGCTCATCATCCCGCTACGTAAGAAAGGAGATTCCGACGACGCCATGGACTATCGACCGATATCTCTGTTGCAAACGGGGTACAAGGTAATTGCGAAGGTCTTGGCGACGCGTATGCAGAAGTGCCTGCAACATGTCATCGGTTCTTCTCAACAAGGCTTTGTTCACGGACGACAAATGCAAAGGACGGTCTCAATGATGCTTGCTCACCTCCAGTGCACGTGAGGAGTGTACTTTGGACGCCGACGCCAGCCGCGCCGTTGTCTTACTGGATTTTCGGAAGGCCTATGATACGGTCGACCGCGATTTCATGGTAGAGGCGCTCCGAATATTCGTGTTTGACGAGAACTTTCTAGCGCTCATTCAAAGGCTTCATACCAACACGACGGCACGTTTTTCGGTCAACGGTGAGCTTTCATCAATTCGGCCGGTACGGTCTGGCATTCGGCAGGGCTGTCCCCTCGCTTCTCTTCTTTTCCTGGTGGTCGTCGAGGTGCTGGCCGTTGCAATACAAACGTCGCCCCAACTTCACGGGCTCACACTTCCAGGAGTACACACACAGCCCCATATATTTTCGGGGGTTTTCGACGACTCAACCCTGTTTCTACAAGAAGCCAGTCTACTCCGACCGGCTATGGACATCATTATGGAGTTTGGGCGGCTTTCGGGGTTGCAGGTACAACCGACAAAAAGCCAACTCATATTTTTAAACACGGCTATCTGTCAACCTACGTATCAGGGGATCGCAGTGGTGGCTCCGTCAACAACTACGAGGTATCTCGGCTATCAAGTGGGTACAGGAAAGTTACGCAACATTAACTGGGCTCTCCGCATCAAAAATGCACAGCGTCGCCTCCTCACTGCAACGCGAGTTTCGAAGACCCTCGAGCACCGAGTTCTTATACTCAATGCGATAGTTCTACCCGAGATTTTGTTCACGGCAGCGGTCTTCGAGCCCCCCGGTTGGGCGCTCAAACAGCTGGATCATCTCTACAAACAGTTCCTCTGGAAGACGTCCAACAGGATTGAACCCGGGAGACACAAAGTCGCTCCAGGCCTCCTTTACGCTCCCCGTAAGGCAGGCGGAATCGGCCTCGTTTCGGTCCCCGTCGCCATCAAATCCCAGCGGGTGAAACACGCGCTACTGGCACTTACTCGGCCAGAGGATGGTTATCAATCAGCGTGGGTGTCCTGGATTACGCATGGTGCACACATCCCGGCCATCAGCCCGCATCGACCGAGAGTGAAACACATTGTATCGCCGTCTTCCGAGCGGTATCCGGATGTACTTTATGAGCTCGGATGCACATTGACGCCGACACCCGCGCAAACGGACGATATTCTCGCACGGGTACAGGACCATCTACCGACTCTTCGATCATCATCGACCAGCTGGTGGGACGAAAACGACTGGGTGCTGCATCTCTCTGAACCCCTTCCCAGTCGGTCTCAGTCAGTAGAGTTTTGGCCCCAGGCAATCGAAGACTTCTGGCAGACTTTCCGGTGGAGTGGAAACCATTGGGTTCTCACCCCGCAGGCGTCGGCGTTGTCCCGGTCCAAGTATGACAGGATCGGCGATGTCTCCTTTGAACAACTCCATATCCAGCGGGCAGAACCCCAGGAATATGTCTTCGGCGGTATTTGCACGGACCTCCTCGCCCCCCGCCATTCACATGCCAAACTTCTAGAATGGGCGATCATCGTCTTACTCTCGTCGCCGTCACTTGATGTAGGAAATCATGTGGGGGGGGCCCGGCCCCACTCCGGCTAAGGCATCAGCCCCCTTTCACACAAGCCATCACATGGGTGCCAGTCGGGCCGGGTAGGGTTCGGGGCACTTCTGTCTCGGACAATTCTATTCATTCTCAGCGTTGGGAGCTCATTCAATGCCAGAATGTCATTTCTTGGGTTTCTGACGGGGAACCGCCGCGGGTCCAAGGGAAAACGCAGGAACTCACCCAACTCGCGGAGCGCAGGCTCATCCGAAATGGGGTCGTTATTTTTTCCAACCCACAGGTCCACCGCTTTCCATGGTCCGCTCCGCTAACGGTTCCTTATCACCGCGTCTTCTCGTTCCTGAAACGGCAACCTTTTAAGTCGGCTAAGCGGTGTCTTGCGACACCGCTGAAGCAGGTCATTGATAGACTGGGCACCAAGAGTCAGAATAAACGTTGGCTACGCGCAGCTCTCGATGTCTCGCCGGCTCATCTATGGGGTCACGGACACGCGGTGACGGAATATCAGCTATGGACACGGTACCGCCACGCTACCGGTCAGTTAAGCTTTTGGTATCAGGACCGGCCTCCGGACGGGTCTTGCACGTATCGAGAATGTGTCGGACAGAAGGAGACCCAGGAGCATCTCTTTTGGGAATGTCCCCGTGCACAGGCAATCTGGGCACGGCTCATCAGTCATTGGGAGAGCACACCTCATAAGCCTAACCATCTACTGGATTAGCTCGAGCACTGCGCAAACCGTAGAGTACCACGCATTTCGCCGCAGGTCACGGCAATGCTGTTAGTCAGATACCCAGACGACATCGATCAATTCGCCACGGCCTGAAGGACGATATGGGAGGTCGCAGGGACCGTCATCATCACAATGCTCTGGCAACACCGCGTGGACAGCGTTTTTCACAATGCGAAAATCCCGATGCAAGCCAGTGAAGCCATGATTTGGGGAAGGATTCAGCTTCAATTGCGGGCGCTAATCAAACGTCTCCATTGCAGGGCTGACACACCGTGCGAGGCGCCCAACTTTTTGCATGTTAAGACATATTTATATCAGCACCGAGAGGGCAGCCCAGCTTTCATAGCCAGGCTGCCAGCCGTATGCAATGCCTGGACCCTCCAGAGTTGCTAGTGTGGTTAACAACCTACCAGAGATCTTGCACTAACCAGTAATTAGACAATCTGTTCTCTCTCGTAATCTCCCTTGTGGCGTCAATCCCTTGCTTCGGTCGGTCTTGTATCCACTCGACTCTTTCATCGTCACATACCGATCGTTTCCATCCAATCGACGCTTGATCCATCTCCACCTTTCCCTGCTCCGGCGATCTCGCACCCTCGTTTCCCTTCGACAATCTCAGATACGCAATCATTTCGAGTCCTTTAACCAGTCGAGTATGCTCTTATTGCGACTCACCATTCTTGAACCCGATCCCATCTGCCTGACAGCTGGACCGTTCTTAGAACAGATCAGCTACCTTAGACTCAGTGTCTTCAGTCGTAACCTTTCTTCTGGCGTCAATCTCTTGCTTCGGTCGGTCTTGTATCCACTAGACGCTTTTAATCTTCTTTGTAGCATCCATCGCT